CCTTCACCTTCACCTTCACCTTCACCTTCACCTTCACATTGACTGTGACTGTGACCTTGAACTTGACCTTGATCTTGATCTTGACCCTAAATCTAACCCACCAATCCACTGACAGCCTCTACATCAACACAAAAGCTGCCACTAAATCATAACTTGTGTTGTCTGCGACTGAATTGAAAAGCTAGAAATAACCCCGCAATAAAATTGTACTTAATCCTAATCGCGATTAAGTTGTGTTTAACCTTAACCACAATATAGTTGTGTTTAACCTTAACCACAATATAGTTGTGTTTAACCTTAACCACAATATAGTTGTGTTTAACCCTAACCACAATAAAGTTGTGTTTAACCCTAACCACAATAAAGGTTATATAGCGCAGTGTAGATCTGTCATCACGAAGAGTTGAAGATCGAACTAAACAAAAGTTTTGTTTAATCCTTCTCATCGTATATGCCCCCCCCCCCCCCGCCCTGCGCACCGTAAACAGACTGACACAATGTAAAGATTATGACCCAGAGCTTGAGACATTGTGTGTGTTAGAGGGGGGGGGGGGGTGTTGGTCACTGAGTCACGTGACCTAGCCGGCACCACAGTCAACCCTCAAATAACACCAGAGATAAGGTGAAATCAGAGGACAGCAACCTTCAACTGTAGAAAATCGATCTCCCTTAAATCGTCTTCTGTGGAAACAAAAAAAAAATCGGTCATTTTTCTTGTGGTTACCCCCAATCAAGTCACGCAGTAGATCGATATCTCGGCGATTGATCTCTGGAATGTTCTGAACGAAACAATTAACGTTGAAAAGATTAGCGTAGATTTCAAACTGTTGAACCAGCCAATCAACATCGAGGTCTAGCCTGATCTCCACGGTACAGGCTAACGTAGTGTCAATTAAAAAACTTAATTAACTCGCGGTTTGTTTTGTTTAGGATTTAAAAAGACGTCGTCTAAACACCTCCAGAGAGTTTTTTTTAAAGTTGGTTCCCCGTCCCTCCCACATAACAACCCCACCCCCCTAACCGTTCACCGTCAGAGACTATTTTCTCACACTTGCGGGAAGTATTTTTGTTGTGACCATCTAACTATAGCGATACAACCAAACAGCGAAATGACAAGCTAAACCTTTACAGTACAGCGAGATGACGAATGTGACCGGCACAAAAGATCAAAAAAATTGTGGCGGAAATCGTTCGAAAAAAAACCCATTCATAAAGAGTTATCGTACTTGGGCTAGATTTTTTTTTCTGTCAATTTTTTTGAGTAAATAAAATTCAACTATTTTATTGCTTTTTCCCGTTTCTGACACAGTAGCTAGAGGGGCATGTGGGTGTGTGGGTGTTTGGGCGGGGGTGGGGGGTGGATTGAATCGCTAGGGAACATTAAACTGTGTATTATCCATAGCGATATAGACTAAATATAGGCATACATCTACGTTTAAGCCTTTAAGAATATAGGCCTATATATATACTAGCTGCATACCCGTGTTCCGCCACTGTAAATCTTTTTTTAAAATGTACCAACTTGGGAACGAACAAAACCAAACACAACACAAACACAACACAAACACAACACAACACAACACAACACAACACAAACACAACACAAACACAACACAACACAAACACAACACAAACACAACACAACACAACACAACACAACACAAACACAACACAACACAACACAAACACAACACAACACAAACACAACACAAACACAACACAAACACAACACAACACAAACACAACACAAACACAACACTAACACAACACTAACACAACAAAAACACAACACAAACACAACACAAACACAACACAAACACAACACAAACACAACACAAACACAACACAACACAAACACAAAAGAAAACACAAACACAAAAACAATACGAACACAAAAGAAAACACAAAGATGCATACGCGTGCTCCGCCACGGTAAATCTTTTTAAAATGTACCAACTTGGTAACAGAACAAAACTAAACACAACACAAGCACAACACAAACCCAACACAAACCCAACACAAACCCAACACAAACACAACTCCGAAAGATAGAATAATAATTAATAAACAGTACGTTCAGTATATAATAATAATCATTAAAAAAAGTTTTAAAAAACCCACGTTTTCTGATTGAACTAAAAAGTAGAAAATAAATACTATACATCACAATAATGCAAGCGATCACTCTACTATAAGCGATGAAAAACGTGGGGCGCCGAAGTAAAAGTTATATTACTATTGATTAGATAATACTATTGACTTTTATTAGGGAGCTTGTAGAGAGTCAACAGTATTAGAAACTGTAAGAAAATCACGGCGCCCCACGTTTTTCATCGCTTATAGTAGAGTGATCGCTTGCATTATTGTGATGTATAGTATTTATTTTCTACTTTTTAGTTCAATCAGAAAACGTGGGTTTTTAAAAACTTTTTTAATGATTATTATTTTCTACTTTTTAGTCTTTGTCTGTTTGTTTGCATTGAAATCTTGCTATCAATTTTATCTTTTCACTTTTTTTTGGGTAAACGAAGACAACTCGTAAAAAGACAACTCGTAAAAAACGAGAGACCCTTTCTTCTTCGGTCTCAATCGCAAGTGAATGATTGTCAGAGGTTAGTTGATAGCGGTTAGGACGAGGGCTGGTTACTGACTAGAACACATAGATTTGAACCCGTGTCGAGTGGGATGGCAATCGTGTGCCCAACCACTCGACCATATCGTCTCCCCAAAACTGGCCACCAGTGGTAATAGTTACCTCCTGTAAGTTTAAAGTCGGTTCAAACTAAATTATCTGCCCCTAAGCCTGTCGCGACGTGGGATCGTTTCGCGTCACTGCACGCGGCAAGAGAGAGGCGAGCTACGCGTCGCTCGTTTTTTTTCTAATGGCTCGCAGAGGAGAATTATATATATAGATTATATAGCGGTCTAAAATGCTCAATAAAATGTTTCCATTGATCAATTTAGTAATAATAACAATTGAATATCCAAAAGAAAGCTTCCCTGAAAATTTCAGCGCGCTAGCTAACTGGGAAGTGCCAGAAATTTCGATCGCAAGATTTGATTGGAAAAACAAACAAACAAACAGAGAAAGCAAGTTAAAGAAAACGTGGGAAAATAAATAAAAGGCAGTATTTAAAATATTCTTGTTTACCTACCATATTGCACTTTATCAATTCATGCATTTTTTTCAGTTCTTTAAATTAAAAAAAAGTTCACAATAGAGTTTCATGACTTAAACAATTGCGCACGTAATAATGGGATGACACGTGTATAATGTTGATGAATAGTTCATTAAAAATTATCATTAGTAAACAGTACGTTCAGTGAATAAAATAAATAAAATATAGCCTTTTATCAAACCATGCTAATTATAATATTCCAACAATAATGTCCTCTTACACGTCTACAGAAATTGCATTTACATTTTAATAATTATATTACTCCAACAATATTACCCTCTTGGAGATTTTGCATTCAAATTTTTTTATTAGCGTGAATTGATTTGTAAAATTACCTCCCTTGGCAAAATTACAAAACAACTTAATTATTTAGTTTTTTCGACCCTATTATTATTATAAAAATATATCCACTTTTTCTAGGAATCTAAACAAAATTGATATTTGACATTGATCCGTTTAATATGTTTTATCAATTTGCGTGTATTTAATATTTTCTTTACGTTATGCGAAAGAGTAAAAACGGTGGCAACTATAAAAAAAAAAATTAAGTCGTTATATAAATAAACCCTACTATGTTACAAATAATAAGACACTGCAATGCAAGTAAAAAGGGCATGTGGAGTGATTACTTTTATGGTTCCAAAATCTATAGCGATGACGGAAGGGCGGAATGTTTGACATACTACCATCCCGCTTATATATATATATATATATATATATATATATATATATATATATATATATATATATATATATATATATATATATAAATACAAAGCTTACTTTATCCTATACACATACAACTAACTCTACTTTTCTACATTGACCATAAACCTAATCCGCTGGTCACCTGATCACGTGATAACCTGGGGTGTGCGTGTTAACAAAACGGACGAGTGAAGAAGAGATGATTTATCAAGTTACAGCAAAAGCCTGGCAAATTCTCCTATAGAGACAGGGGCGTAGTGAGGGGGGGGGGTGCAGACCGCACCAGGTGACACCATTTAGGGGGGTGACACCATGGCAAAAAATAGCTAAATAGATTGAGAATAACTTGAGGGGAGGGTGCAAATCGAAAGTTTGAGGGGGGGGGTGCAAATCGAAAACTTGAAAGTTTGTCCCCGGGAAGGGTCGCTACGCCTCTGGGGGGGGGGTGACACCATTAAGTGCCGCACCGGGTGACACCCGACCTCGCTACGCCACTGTATAGAGATATTTAGGGGGGGGGGGGGAGATAGTGGCAAAAACTTTTTTTTCTGCTTATTAATTGACAAACCGTAATGGTAATAATTGTTGTATTTTTAAAATTTAGAATCTAAGAACTCACCCACTGTTTATTTGGGAACGAATCGTTGTTGGTACTTAAAAATAAATTTATGCTGAGAAACATTTTATCATTGTGTCCCTAACCCCACTCAAATCGTATTTTTAGCCAATACTTTTTCCCCCTAGGCCTGCTAGAGCGACTGAATTGCTATACAAAGCGCAGATATTTCTAGAAATGTTATCACTGGATAGGGCTTCATCTGATGTGTGGGATTGTTTGTTTACCTTCGTATCGTGATGGGCGGGGTGGAGGGGACATAACTCCAGCTCGATCCCTAGTTAGGGAGCGACACGCTATGATTAGCCCAGGCAAACAGACCCTTAACGCGGCGTGACGTAGCACACCTGTGACGTCATGCATATTTTTAATCCCCCGCCCCTTACCCCACATTGAGGCGCAGCGATGCGTGTCGTCGTCTGCATTTGTTGGAGCGGAATACTTTCACAGGCCAGTCTATATAGGCCGGCGTGCTGGATCTGCTGCTACCAGACGGTTTGCCACTAGATGGCGGGTTGACGACTTGAAAAACACAAGCGGCATTTACCACTTTTAGCGCGATAAAACAACAGCAACTCGTCTTACACAGCATATAGGATTCATTACTTTGTTTTAGGATAGTGGAAGTCATTTCATTCGTAATACTAGTCGTGTCGCAACAGGCCGTGTTTGTGTGTGTTTTTTTTTCTTAAAGGACCAAGTGTGGCAACTTTCTGATTCAAAGAGATTACTTGAGGCCGAAGCTGAGCAGATACTACTAGCTGACTATAGCTGATCACAGATTTCATTGACTGGCCAAAGCTGACCACACGTTCATTGACTGGCCAAAGCTGACCACACGTTCATTGACTGGCCAAAGCTGACCACTCGTTCATTGACTGGCCAAAGCTGACCACTCGTTCATTGACTGGCCAAGGTGACGTCATAGGGTCAGTTGTATATACATGGACGAGAAAAAACAATTGATGGAAAGGGGCTATAACCCGGATACATACAGCGCTCACCCGTACCAGCATCGAGTTATGGTTCTTGCTGTTCCAAACGAAAGGGGTGAGTACACATCAAAACAGTCTCAATAAGCCACGTGATCGATAAGTCACGTGATCGATAAGTCACGTGATGAATAAGTAAAACAAACAATAAGATAAGCCCACAATCAATAAGTCACCTAATCAGTAAACCACATAAATTAATTAGTTATCTAATTAATACTGTTAGATATATAACTTGATGTTGTAGGTCTATAACTTGATGTTGTAGGTCTATAACCTGATGTTGTAGGTCTATAACTTGATGTTGTAGGTCTATAACTTGATGTTGTAGGTCTATAACTTGATGTTGTAGGTCTATAACTTGATGTTGTAGGTCTATAACCTGATGTTGTGGACCTATAACCTGATGTTGTAGGTCTATAACTTGATGTTGTAGGTCTATAACTTGATGTTGTAGGTCTATAACTTGATGTTGTAGGTCTATAACCTGATGTTGTAGGTCTATAACCTGATGTTGTAGGTCTATAACCTGATGTTGTAGACCTATAACCTGATGTTGTAGGTCTATAACCTGATGTTGTAGGTCTATAACCTGATGTTGTAGACCTATAACCTGATGTTGTAGGTCTATAACCTGATGTTGTAGGTCTATAGCCTGATGTTGTAGGTCTATAACTTGATGTTGTAGGTCTATAACTTGATGTTGTAGGTCTATAACTTGATGTTGTAGGTCTATAACTTGATCTTGTAGGTCTATAACTTGATGTTGTAGGTCTATAACATAATATTTTAAATACTTTAGAAACAAATATTTAATTTATCGTATTTAAAAACATTTTAAATCTCAAATTCAATCATACATTTTAAAAACTCCAACACATCTCAAAACGATATCTTTGAAACCTTACGAATGTTGATAAAGTATGTGCGATAAAATTTCACAAATGTTAACAATTTCTTAGCTTGAAAACCCCACAACTGTTAACAATTTAGTAGCTATAAAAACCCATAAATATTACAAATTCAGTAGCTATAAAACCCCACAAATATTAACAATTTCGTAGCTATAAACCCCCATAAATGTTAATTTCTTAACTTGAAAACCCCACAAATATTAACAATTTTGTAGCTATAAAACCCCACAAATGTTAACATTACGTAGCTATAAAGCTAAAACATTCCAACAATGGCCTAGCTATAAAAAGTGAAACATTCGGATGTCAACCTTAGCTAGGTTAACATCTGACATCCTTTACGCATGTCACGTTTTGAAGCAGCAATCATATGTCATTTCCGCCACTCCCTCCATCTGTAGCAGACGACACCACGACTGTAGAGTCAGGGTGACCGCCGCGGGTTAATCCCCGACTCCGCCCCATTCATCATATCTTAGCACCAACATGAACAAATCCTATTGTGTTTATAATTGTACAATTGATTGCACAAACTAAGCGGTTAGATCAAATTTCTCTGCACAATATGTGAAGGCTTAAGCCTAACAATGTCAGATAAAAATTTGTCACTCTAAACTTTTTTCCGTCTGACGGTTGTAAGCGGAACAATCGCGGTTATAACAGCTGCTAACATAACTTGTTTGACTAAAACATTTGTCCGGTGCTAATTTTTCATTGCCAACGATTTCTAATGTTTTAATAAAAAAAGCCATATTCATACAAATGCATATAATGCTACTTCTCAGGAAATATAATTAGATCTACCTTCCCAGTTATTGTCTAATCATTTGAGTCCCCGAACAAAGAGAGCCAATTTTGCTTTACCTATCGCTTTGCACCGTCAAACGTAAAGCAAGGGTTTACAGTAAACAGCCCAATATTTTAAAGCATACCATAAGAAAAACTATCTTACAGTACGCCTTGTAAATTAACGGCTCTAATAGCCAGTTGCGGTGTTAAGTTTTTACTTTTAACATCTCGTCCTTAGTCTTACGAGATTCATGCGGTGTTTTTACTTAACACCTTGTCTTTAGACTTACGAGATTCATACGGTGCTAAGTTTTTATTACACATTCCGTCTTTAGACTTACGGCCTTCAAGTCCTGACATTAAATACTGTCTTATACACACTGGCGGCCGCAAACGTTAAAATCAAATTACAATTTTTCATAAACCTGATCTTGTTAATCCACAAATCAACAATCGTACAACACCTGATCCACAAATCAACAGTTGATCTGACCCAACAGCTTAACGCGATTTGATCCCCTAAAAATTCGAGATTATGAACACACCCGCCACACAGCTAATGTTCCCTTTATTTGCTTTTAGTTCACGTTTTTTATTGACACACGCATTTCTTGACATCGTCTATTTGAAAGAGTTTGATTTAAGGTGCCCGTAATTCCCCCAAGCAAATAAAGTTTTTGTTTTATGTTGACAGTCTTACACACCCAAATACTGACGTTATTGTCAAGACAACCAATCAATAAACCATCGTTGATCTTTGATTGTAACAAAACTATCATCCTGTGATACAAGATGTGACATGATTGTTGACCCTATCATACCAGATGTGACATAATTATTGAACGCGTCATACCAGATGTGACATGATTGTTGACCCTGTGATACAAGATGTGACATGATTGTTGACCCTGTGATACAAGATGTGACATGATTGTTGACCCTGTGATACAAGATGTGACATGATTGTTGTCATACAAGATGTGACATGATTGTTGACCCTGTGATACAAGATGTGACATGATTGTTGACCCTGTCATACCAGATGTGACATGATTGTTGTCATACAAGATGTGACATGATTGTTGACCCTGTCATACCAGATGTGGCATGATTGTTGTCATACCAGATGAGACATGATTGTTGACCCTGTCATACCAGATGTGACATGATTGTTGACCCTGTGATACAAGATGTGACATGATTGTTGACCCCGTCATACAAGATGTGACATGATTGTTGACCCCGTCATACCAGATGTGACATGATTGTTGACCCTGTCATGCCAGATGTGACATGATTGTTGTCATACCAGATGTGACATGATTGTTGTCATACAAGATGTGACATGATTGTTGTCATACAAGATGTGACATGATTGTTGACCCTGTCATACCAGATGTGACATGATAGTTGTCATACAAGATGTGACATGATTGTTGTCATACAAGATGTGACATGATTGTTGTCATACAAGATGTGACATGATTATTGACCCTGTCATACAAGATTTGACATGATTGTTGTCATACAAGATGTGACATGATTGTTGTCATACAAGATGTGACATGATTGTTGTCATACAAGATGTGACATGATTGTTGACCCTGTCATACAAGATGTGACATGATTGTTGTCATACAAGATGTGACATGATTGTTGACCCTGTCATACAAGATGTGACATGATTGTTGACCCTGTCATACAAGATGTGACATGATTGTTGTCATACAAGATGTGACATGATTGTTGACCCTGTCATACCAGATGTGACATGATTGTTGACTAGTCGACGTGCTAATTATTCCAACAGACAAAATAAGATGCTGAGTAGAAAACATATCTGTCTAGCAAACGTTGAGCTCACAAATTTCACGTTTTTAAAGTTCTATTAGTCAGTTAAACAGTAAATCAATCAGTTAATCAAGCATTCGATGAATAGATCATCCACAAAGTATGTGATATTTTGACAAGACAGGGCAGATTTCGATTACCAAACATCAATTTTTACACTTTACCAAATATCAGTTTGTGCACTTTAACAAACATCCAATTTTGATACTTTAATAAACATCCAATTTTAACACTTTAACAAACATCAATTTTGATGCTTTAACAAACATCAATTTGATACTTAAATAAACATCAAATTATGATACTTTAATAAACATCAATTTTTATTCTTTCTAAACCTCATGTGATAAGACACAGGCTACCGTTCTAGTTTAATGAAGATGATCTCCCATTAGTAGCGTAGATATTGAAAGTGTATTTGCAATCTAGAACTAGTTCTTACTCAGTACTTTTCATTCATTACGTATACGATCTTGTAATCTTGTAATGTAGGCCTATACAATATGAACAGATATTTAAATCTAAATGTCAAATGAACAACAAGTCTCTAGCATTTAGCTAACAGCTAGTTGTAATAAGACTTTAGTAGAATATAGCTAACAGCTAATTGTATTAAGACTTCTGTAGAATATAGCTAACAGCTAGTTGTAATAAGACTTCTGTAGTGTATAGCTAACAGCTAGCAGTTGTAACAATACTTCTGTAGCATATAGCTAACAGCTAGCAGTTGTAACAATACTTCTGTAGCATATAGCTAACAGCTAGCAGTTGTAACAATACTTAAACACATGAAATAAACCTAACGATAATCCCCTGAACCAATAAAACTAAATTAAAATCGCGTGTCGCTACAAGCAGACCTCAAATAGAACCTTCTCGTTCACTATCTCGATCTAATAGGCTAGGGGGTGGGAGGTGGAGGGGGGGGGGGGGGGGATCAAATCAGCGAAGGGGTGAGAACAGGGCGCCATGTAATGTCAAATCTTGACACACTTGTCAAATGTGAAAGCCTTGATTCAAGACATTGTCAAATGTGAAAGCCTTGATTCAAGACATTCAATCAACAGACAGCTCGTAATTCAGGCCTTTTGGCTAACAGCTGTCTGAGAATATGAACAGAACTTGAACATTGCTGACATAGGACGATTTGCTGTCTGACAATATGAACAGCTTGATACAAAGTTCTAAACACGCCGTCTATATAAAAATCTCATTTTAAATTTGGAATTCTACACAGCGAGATGTGCAATCTGTACACTCGGAGAAAATGTAACAGGTCACGTCAGACTTTCGCTCAATTTGTATGAAGATTATTTTAATGACACCATTTAACTATACATTACTGGATTAATTCTTCATTTTGTAGATTTGAGGCAAGTTGTAGATGGCGCGGTCGCTAATCCAAAAGTGTCAACATGGGATCTTATCTCTCGGGTATCTATAATGGGTGACACCGGTTTAGGTCTGGGATCTTATCTGTGGGTGTCTCTGATTGGTGACACCTATTTAGGTCTGGGATCTTATGTGTGGGGTGTCTATGATGGGTGACACCGGTTTAGGTCTAGGATCTTATGTGTGGGGTGTCTATGATGGGTGACACCGGTTTATGTATGGTATCTTATCAGTGGGGTGTCTATGATGGGTGACACCTATTTAGGTCTGGGATCTTATGTGTGGGGTGTCTCTGATATGGTGACACCTATTTAGGTCTGGGATCTTATGTGTGGGGTGTCTATGATGGGTGACACCGGTTTAGGTCTAGAGATTCCATCTTAAATATTCAAGTAGAATATAGAAGTTTAACCCTGTGTTATATCCTGTGTGGTGGGCTTGCGTTTAAACTAGACATCGGTCAAGCAAACCTAATAGCAACAAAAAAAAACAATTTGCACCAGCAAACCCACTAGCTACAGCAAATTTACAGGCTTCAGTCGCACAACAGTTGTAGAGGTGTGTCTAGTACAACTATCTTAATGTAGGATCCAATGCTACATGAAACTGACTCTAATTAACCTTTGTTACAGTTCAATACAATCTTCACTAATTGACTATTAGAAAGATATAAATAAATCATGATGAGGGGGTGGCGTGGGTGAAGCAGGCCTCGGGACATATGGCAGGATTATACATGTAGCGCTACATGTGTAGGGACAGGGGCTGATTGAGCTTGAGCGGGGCCCCGGGCTGAAACTTTCTAGGGCCCCTGATAATATATATATATATATATATATATATATATATATATATATATATATATATATATATATATATATATATATATATATATATATATATATATATATATATATATATATATATATATATATATATATATATATATATATATATATATATATAAAGGACGCGCACGTTTCAAAATTTAAATGTTTTATTCTTACTTAGCGCTTCATTTGACACCGCTATTTACAAACCTGCACATTTAAATAGCTAATTTTTCGAAAAAAAAACAAACTGCTACATTATCGTCAACTTGGACACAAGTGGTCAGCGTTTTAATATCGATTTCTACATTTTTACACTTGAACATTGGTGAACCGTATCGATTGTTATATAACTACAATCTACACAACAGAACAGTATTGTTTAAACGTATTCTAAAAATATACAGAAAACTTCTGTGACGTTCTAAGTATGTTATGTGATCATTGATTGACTTAGAAAAAAAAACCATTAAACAAAATTGTTAATAATTACAATTTTTCTCCCCAGACGTTGCGCCCAACTGCTTATTTCGGCTGGTACACAGGCTAGGTCAAGGTCACAGCGGAGACGCATCTTGGCCTGGACCCTGGTGTTCGCCGTGTTTATCTTCATGCTGACCTACAACCACCAGCCCTCGGTCCTCTCACACTCCGAGCCCAGCGCTGACCTCGGCAACGAAGTCCTTAACCTTGACTCCAGGAAAGATTTTAAACTGCTGGACATCAAGGACACCAAGGACACCAACGCCAACAACAAGCTCAAGTTCCTCAGCGAGAACGGGGAGGAGGAGGGGGACGAGAACCCGCCGGACCTCAGGTCAGACCTGGCCCCGCCCATCGTCCACGTCCTGTGGTGCGGGGTCAAGCGGTTCGAGTTCCGGCACTACCTCAGCATCAAGCGAGCCAACTTCATCATCAAACCCGACAAAATCATCTTCCACTACCAGGACCTGCCCGTGTCGGACCACGAACAGTACTACACCTGGTTCAACAAAACCCTCACTGAAAATGATCACGTTCTCTTGAAGAAAATCAACACCACAACCTGCCCTGAATCAGGCGCGGAGAGATACATGCTTGTCTTGAGTATTCTGGAATATTTTGGCGGCATCTACGTACCGGAAGACGCCATTCTAGTAGACTTCCCTGTCCACTTGCGGGCAGCGCAGTTCGTGTCCGGGGTTTACCCCAAGAGCTTGTCCGAGTATCTAGACGGCATTATCGTGGCCAAGAGAAACGGCTTCATCAGCCCCTCTAGTCAGACCGGCCTCAACGTAGTGCTAGCCTCAGGCAGGTCCAAGGCTCAAGGCACCATCGAGCCTTGTGGTTCACCCCACGACTACAACACTGGCCAAGGTGAAGGTAACCTCATCTGTGTCAAGGTCACGGAGGAGATCTTCCCAGCAGACATCTGGGATGCGGACACGAACTTTGCCCTACTGTGTCGGGTGGCGGGCTATGGCATGAAGACGATACAGCGCACATTCAACAGCCGGACCTCCATCCCAAAGATCGGACATTACATCTGTTGGGATTGTGAGCTCAAGTTCAGCACATACATCAGTGTACTCAGTGCTTTAAACATCGCCGGTTTATCTAAGGTAATACACACATACATCACATACATACATCAGTGTCCTCAGTGCTTTAAATATTGCAGGCTTATCTAAGGTAATACATACATCAGTGTACTCAGTGCTTTAAATATCGCAGGCTTATCTAAGGTAATACATACATCAGTGTCCTCAGTGCTTTAAATATCGCAGGCTTATCTAAGGTAAGACATACATCAGTGTACTCAGTGCTTTAAATATCGCAGGCTTATCTAAGGTAAGACATACATCAGTGTACTCAGTGCTTTAAATATCGCAGGCTTATCTAAGGTAATACATACATCAGTGTCCTCAGTGCTTTAAATATCGCAGGCTTATCTAAGGTAATACATACATCAGTGTACTCAGTGCTTTAAACATTGCAGGCTTATCTAAGGTAACACATACATACTACAATATAACAACAACGTAGCTGGCTAGACTAATTTGCAGTTGATATATATTATAAGGAAAGATCACATCTCTAAATTACCATAGTACTAGCAATACCACATCTCATAGAGTTAGCTGTGTGGTTGTACCACATCTTCCAGAGTTAGCTGTGTGGTTGTACCACATCTCCCAGAGTTAGCTGTGTGGTCGTACCACATCTCCCAGAGTTAGCTGTGTGGTTGTACCACATCTCCCAGCGTTAGCTGTGTGGTTGTACCACATCTCCCAGCGTTAGCTGTGTGGTTGTACCACATCTCCCAATTTTATCTATGTGGTTGTAACACATCTCCCAGAGTTAGCGGTGTGGTTGTACCACATCTTCCAGAGTTACCACAATAGCCACACCAGCCGATCTAGCTGATCTATCCTTGCCACAAATCCATCGCTAGATGAAAACGTAGATTTGACGAAGGTTTTAATCCTGATCATAAAGATTCAATTGGATTACAGTTTGATTAGGAGCCCAGTAATCTTCACTGATCTAACATCTTTACAATTTATATTTTGTATAGTAAAATCTCTTTGAATGTCATGCCTCTTTAACTCTCAAAAGCCGTCTAGAGCTCTCGCTTTATTCTAAGCCGGCCGTTTATCTTCATCGGCCCCACAATGCCGGGTCAACTCCGGTAAACACAAACACACACACACAAACACACATACTCACACCCACACTCCCACACACACACACACAACCACTAGCTAACTAGCAACACATCTTGGAATAACTGATTTATAGTTAACCCTAACCCTAACTTATCTAGCAAAAAACATATGTTCCCTGTGATGTAGGTGTACTAACCATGTTCGCTGTGATGTAGATGTACTAACCATGTTCCCTGTGATGTATGTGTACTAACCATGTTCCCTGTGATGTAGGTGTACTAACCATGTTCCCTGTGATGTAGGTGTACTAACCATGTTCCCTGTAATGTAGATGTACTAACCATGTTCCATGTGATGTAGGTGTACTAAACATATTCCCTGTAATGCAGATGTACTAACCATGTTCCCTGTAATGTAGGTGTACTAAAAATGCTCCCTGTGATGGTGGTGTACTAACCATGTTCCCTGTGATGTAGGTGTACTAACCATGTTCCCTGTGATATTGTAGGTGTACGTACACGGCATCAAGCAGCCGACGGGTCTATGGTGGAACAAACTACTGCTCACACAGAGGGTCATACACGTGTACCGGGAATACCCGGAGACGTCACAAGACAGGTCCACCATGACACAGGAGCTGGCACAAGGTACTCAACACATTAGGTGTACTACACATCCGTCTTTTGATTTGTTACACGTCCGTGTTTTGATGTGTTACACGTCCGTCTTTTGATTTGTTACACGTCCGTCTTTTGATGTGTTACACGTCCGTCTTTTGATTTGGTACACGTCCGTCTTTTGATTTGTTACACGTCCGTCTTTTGATTTGTTACACGTCCGTCTTTTGATGTGTTGCACGTCCGTCTTTTGATGTGTTACACGTCCGTCTTTTGATTTGTTACACGTCCGTGTTTTGATGTGTTACACGTCCGTCTTTTGATTTGTTACACGTCCGTCTTTTGATGTGTTACACGTCCGTCTTTTGATTTGGTACACGTCCGTCTTTTGATGTGTTACACGTCCGTCTTTTGATTTGTTACGTCCGTCTTTTGATTTGTTACGTCCGTGTTTTATTATACGTCCGTCTTTTAATTTGTTATACAAGTTATACGTCTGTGTTTTCTTTTCTTGTTTTCTTTTATATCGATATTTCGCAGTGCATAGTATTTAATAGATGCGTTTTCTTGTATAGGGGTCTATGCTTACTTTAAATTACGTCCGTGTTTTGGTTATTTTACTTTCTTGTTTTCTTTTATACACGTCTCTGTAGCCTAAGAATACATGTGTGTGGGTTTTGTTTCACGGTACAACTGTTTCTAAATCCTATCCTTTGCTTAAAATAGTGTGTGTTTTAAAAGCATATTCCTATAATGGCTTAAAGAATAGACAAGCATACATACATTTAACTACTGTGACTTCTCTAACGACACAACTTTCACAACTGTTTCTCTGTGACTTCAGCCATAATGCGGGTATCGATACTGCTGAAGTATGGCGGTGTGTACTGTGACAGCAAGGTTATCTGGACCAATACGATACCGGAAGATTATTTCTCGTGAGTATTTTAAAACGTTTTTCTTAACTCAGCTTCGCGTTTGTTTGGTTGTTTGGATGTTTGTTGTTAAAATTGACATCGAAAATTAGCCCACTTCTGATTGCTCTAGAGACCTGAAATTTGGCATGCATGCTACTTTCGCCTAACAATTTCAGATGCAATCATAAAAACTAGCAATTAGTGACCGTAATTAGCTTAATTTAATTACGCCCCAAGGACCATAAAATTGAGGACATGATTTCTAAAGATACCGACAAGACTGGAGGCCTATTGGCACAGTTACTTCGGCCCGAATCGATGTGAGCGCGCTGGCCGTGATCGTATAGTGGTTAGTACTTCGCGTTGTGGCCGCGACAACCCAGGTTCGAATCCTGGTCGCTCAAGATTTTTAGTCCGTGTATTTATAAACACTTTTTTAAAAACCACGTTTTTCATGTGTAGCAACGGACTAAAAAGGAGAAAATAAAATACTTAAAAAAAACTTTAAAAAAAACCACGTTTTTTATGTGTAGCAACGGACTAAAAAGGAGAACGGACACGGTAACACATTGTTAACGGTGACACGGTTGGTACGCTGGGCATGCTAAAATACACATAAACACGTTTTTCCTTAACTCAGCTTCGCGTTTATTTGTTTGTTTATGGGAGATTTGATCACGTGATTCGTGAGTAGATCTCCACGCCAGCAACGTAAATTACACCCTTTCTCTGTTTAAAGCGTATCGGTCGCTCAAGATTTTTTTAGTCCGTGTAATTAAAAACACTTAGTCAAGTCATACTTAATCAAGTGATTAGATAAAGTAGAAAATAAACTATATTAAAAACTTTTTAAAAACCACGTTTTTCATGTGTAGCAACGGACTAAAAAGGAGAAAATAAAATACTTAAAAAAATTTAAAAAAAAAACCACGTTTTTCTTGTGGACTAAAAAGTAGAAAATAACTATTTACATACATTTGATGACAAAAAACGTGGGTCGGGCAGATGGGTCGGGAAATTTGATGGTGAACGTACCCACGTTTTTTGTCATCAAATGTATGTAAATAGTTATTTTCTACTTTTTAGTCCACAAGAAAAACGTGGTTTTTTTTAAAAAATTTTTTAAGTATTTTATTTAAACTGCTGTCATCAAACATCAAACAGTAAACGTTGAATCAAACTCCACAGGAGCTGAGAGATTAGACCAATAGTAAAACTAGATTCGCGGGTTTTATTAGCAGGTTTTCCCCAGAAAGTTATATGTGTGTGTGCGTATAGGGTGGGGGGGGGGGGGGGAGATGGGCGACTTGAAATTTCAGGGTGGGTATGGGGGGGGGCAGAGTGATTAAAGAATATATTTTCTAGATCAATTTTGTTTCCTCAGCGGAGTATGGGTGGGGGACGGGATGTCGGGCGTACTCTATTTATACTACGCTAATCACCTGCTGAAACAGTCATATTTTTGTGACTGTTTTGAAGAAACATAGAGATCAAGTTAACCGTTGCCATCACTAAAACAGTGTTCATAGAGATCACGTTACGTGGCTATAATTATTTGTTCACCCGGCACATTGTCCATTATGTGACATATCCGTCCTGCCTTTATTACATGTTTTATTCCCTGCCCCAATTTCTAGCTTTATCAAACTTGCGTCATTTCCTGTATAGCACGTTTAGTTCCTACAATATGGCGTGCACTAGCCACTGAACTACCCGAGGTCTACCCTCACTCACCACTACCCACCTGTTCCCCCGATCAACGGCTGTCATATTTCTGGCGTGTTCTGGATCTTAGGTCACCGACTCTGCGACCCCTGGCATTGTCCGCGTGACTGTGTTGAACCCAGAATATTTTGTCCCCACCAGCAGAACGAATGGACCCCCAGCTTGTGTGTCATGTCTATAAGTGCGACACGAATGTTGTACAAGAGATCACACAACACACAGACGAACATTTCTATAGAGTAAATTTAACAAGACGGGACAGGCAGACAAAAGAATCATCTTGTCAGATCTTGAATCCATTTATCGACAGCTGTAAATCATCACGAGAAAGCTTATTCACCTCTCACCCCCACCCCATGATTCCCCCCCCCCCCCCCCTCCTACCAGGGACTACCCCTGTCCTACATTGCACCCCCACCCCCAACACACATTTGTCAAGGTTCACCCCTCTATAGGTTTAAGTAAATTCGCCTTCAAACAAAAAATTAAAATGACCTATTGCAATAGTTTATGGTTGAGTGAATATCGATTCATGCAGAAAATATGTTGTTGAATTTTTTTATTGGCAACTCCCCCTCCCCCTCCTCCCCCCCCCCCTCGTTATAGACGGGCACATCTTCGCTAGTGCAGTCTAGCGTGTCAAACATGAAATCTTGAGAGGAACTTCACACGGCATAAAGGGACCAAGTTTTGCCCGAGTTATACACGATTCTCATCGAACACATAATACAACATATATGTTGCATAAGCATATAAATATGTTGTATACAACATATTTATATGTTATACATGATTCTCATTGAACACTTGTACAGAAAATAGAAATGGTGTACGGATATGTTTAAACTCCTGGCTTAGATGAACTAACAAAATCCAATTTTTTTTTTCTTGTACTATTACCCCCCACCCCAGCCCTTCCCCCAACCTCTCAGCCAATCGCCCACCTCACTCCACACATTTAAACACACATTAAACAAATCTTTTAGAATTAAATTATCTTTAAAAATGGCATTCATTTTAAACTATAAATATTGCTTTTAAAAAAAAACACGATTTAGTTATATAAAATCAGCTGTTAAACCAAGAATTTGACATTTCACAGATACGATGCAGTAGCCTCCCCTGACTGGCTGAGTTACGGGTCCTGGCCTGACTCCATCTCTCACACCACCATCATGGCCAAGAAAAACTCGGAATATCTTTTCAAGTTAAGGAACCTGCACTCTCAGCGACACAAGGAGAGGTTCTGGTTCGTCGATCAGTTTCTTGCCTATAAGGTAATATTTTTTTTAAAGAAAAATCTTAATACAAAATGTCAATTCTATTTATGACAGGGACACTGAATTTCAACATAGCAGTTCTGGCTCTGATAGTTTAAATTGAGTCTACGTTTAAGCCAATGTGTGCGCTATGCAACACGGCTAGAGTGACAGACATTTATTGGGCTAAAGCTATACACATGTCATACACACATTAAAATCTGAAACACTGTTTCAGAATAAGACACACAAAACAGCACTATAGAAGCAGATACAGAGAGTATTGTTTTATTATTACAGTGGAATAAAAATAACACCTTTACTTTAAGCCAAAGGCAGAACACCATAACAAAAACCCAAAACACCAATACTGTAGTAGACACAGAACACCATTAGTAGACACAGAACACCATTAGTAGACACAGAACACCATTAGTAGACACAGAACACCATTAGTAGACACAGAACACCATTAGTAGACACAGAACACCATTAGTAGACACAGAACACCATTAGTAGACACAGAACACCATTAGTAGAAACAGAACACCATTAGTAGAAACAGAACACCATTACTGTATTAAACAAAAAACACCATCAGTAAAACAGACGCACACAACACTTCATCAGATGACAAACAAAAATTTTTATCTCACGAAATAATCGCATTGTCCCAATTTTTTTTTTTTTAAAACAAAATAAATTTCAATTTTCTCTTCATAGATATTAGAGGAAAACCCGGATGTTCTATTTTTAGATCGGCACTTCCAAGTGAAATGCCTGAATCAAAATTGTCACCCAACCTGGCAACCCGACTACAAAGCTTCATTTAACGATAACCCACCAGGTAGCCAGATTTTTTTCACATACATTCAATCTGCTTTCAATTGTTCTTTTAAGTCTTAGAAGTCAAATAATTGAAGCAAACAACCACCGTACATTCATCTTAGACTATTGCTTTTATACGTTATTTATTTACACCTTTAAATAGATTTATGGTCAAACTACTTCAAGTGTAATTAGATAATTAAATTTCGTGGTGGTGGAGAGGGGGGGGGATGTCTGAGGGTAAAGTTTTTATAATATCTTAAACAAAAAATGTATTTGAAATTAATGCATTTTAAAACTATAAAACGTTGGCAGCTATCAACACATGAAGAAATGCTTGGTAAAGCGACATCCGTCATAAATTTAATTTTTTTCTTTTTTTTTTTTTTTTTTTTTTTTTGCCGCTTTTAAGGAAGAACTGCAGCAATACATTAATGATACAATCTGCATCTAAAATCATTCAAGCACCATTTACAGCTGTCCCCAGGGGAGTTAATACATTTCCCTGGCGACGTTCATTTCAATACATAAATAATATCACTTAGCCGAGTCATCGCATAGCATTAAAAAACAACTTTTTCAAACAGCCGCCGCCTGTCTTGTCTCTCACAGCAGGGGAATTAACTCGAGCACGCCATTCAGGTGCAGTTCATATGAAGTTGGGCTGATTTTTTTAAAATGACATTTTAATATTTAATACGAGGAAAAAAATGACCCACAGATAAGCTCACTTAATGTTTTGTAAATGATGACAAAAAAATATACCCGTAAATTATTTTAGTTGAATACATGCAGAATCATCGCCTAAAGAATGTAATGGTCGCACGGGAAATTCTCTTTGATGTTGAAGTAGCTAATGGGAAATAACTCTGCGGCACATAAAAAACAACTACTCATTGAATTATAATGCGGCGTACAATCACATAACTATGTGGGTTATGGAACTTAGGTCTGCTAGTCAAGCATGAATTTTGTTTGACAAAGAAAAAATGGTCCTGAGATTGGGTCACTACAGTTTAAAGAAAACACTGTCTTAACACTCTTTTTAAGAAGAGAAAAGAACAAAAAATGTATAACTAGCTCTCATAGCTTAGCCTGACCCCCATAGCGAAGCTAGCTTGATCTAACCCCCATAACTAGGCTACCTTGACCTCGAGGCTACCTTGACCCGACCCCCATAACTAGGCTACCTTGACCTCGAGGCTACCTTGACCCGACCACCATAACTAGGCTACCTTGACCTCGAGGCTACCTTGACCTGACCCCCATAACGAGGCTACCATGACCTGACTGACCAAGCTGCTTCTCTCCCCTCCAGGCGCCAGGTTCGAGTGGCAGAACGAGACGCTGAGCGTGTACTGGGACGTCTTCCCCGAGCTGGAGCTGGACACGGTCAAGTACACCAGCGGTCCGGTGGTCGACGCCGCCAGACGGGCGCTCTACAGGTCCGGCGTCACCATTCAGGACCTGTCTAGTCGGTGATCTTGGCCTGAGTCGTAAGAGACAAGAACCCAGGCAGCTTCAGATATCAGAATTGATGGGGTGACCGTCAGCTGTAGACATCAACACAAGGACACTGCCAGCTGTAGACATCATTTACTAGAGTCATTACCACGGGTGACATTCAAATATTGATTCTAAACATTGTCAACATCATCAACTGTTGCTAACGGGAGCGACCGACATCAACAGCTGTTGCTATTAGCAACAAACGACAACATCAACTGATGCTAAAGTAACGAATGACAACACTACCTGCTGCTAATAGTAAAAATGACATCACTTATGTATTAATATATATATATATATATATATAT